TTAAGTGCATTTAAAAATGTGCCTTATATTTAAAAGTATTAATGAAAAAAATAGTAATAAGTTTTAGAATTTTATCCATATTTTATTATTTTTTATAATGATCTGAAATTGTTTACAAATATTTACAATAAATAGATATACATAGATTTATATAAGATTAAAAGCTTATTTTTTATTATATTATTTATACTTACATTTTATACTTTATATATGTTTACGAATAAAGTAAAAACAAAAAATTATATAAAAATTATTTTGTCCAGCTAACTTTTGGTATATCAAAGTGTTCTGTTAAACTGTCTAAATGCCTGTTAAATTCTTCTACCCGTTGTTTATGTGTCATTGAAGCTTTTTGCTTTATTCGCTCAGTTTGCTACAAATATTATACAGTTAAATGAAATTATTTTAAAATGCAAAATATTTATTTAAATAATTGCTTACCATTTTTTCTTGCATTTTTTGAAATGCTATTTCAGCTTTTGTTCGTTTAATTTCTACTATTTTGGGTTTTTCTTCTTCTATAATTTTCGTCACTTCTACCAGTTTTTTTTTTTACCTTCTTTATTCTTTTTTCTATTTTCAAATACGTAATAGTAATATTAAAAAATTAAAAAATTTTTAAATATTAATATATAATTTTAAATTATTTGATAGTCAACATTGACAATAAAATTTAACCTATAAATAGAATTTATCATATAAATACATACTTTTTACTCACGCTTTGATCATTTTTGAGTCTTAACAGTCCTTTTGCTACATGTGCATAAGGATCGTCATCGGTTGTTGATGGCATATTAATTTTTTAAATAAATATTTATTATTTAATATCACTACCAAATATGCGTTTTCACGTTATATACGAAACTAAATCTGGAGACAAATCGATTCTCGACAATATGTATAATCGATTATATTATGACGTCATGCGTATGAACCAATGACATTTTTGAATTGAACAACTGAACATAATTCAAAATTTCGTTATCTATTGTTTTAAAAACATACAATATTTTATTTTTTTATTTCATATTAATGATAATAAAAAATTTTTTTAAAGGCAAGCTTCCATTTAAAAAATGGATTACATTGTTTTATTCTTTTATTATATATATATATGTATATATATATAGATGTGTATATATACATAACACAACTGTCATATTTTAAGGATCATAATAAATTGGTATAATATTGTTAATAATTCTCCATTAATTATACAAGTTTACTTAGCATCATATTCGTGTACATATAGCAATCAATTGTTCATAATCTCTATGCCGTGATCTATTAATCTTAATTAAATAGTTTCAAAAATGTGTGTGTACTATATGATAATTAATATTATTTTGCGCTTGTATTCATACTAACTACCATTGTATCTAGATTAAATGCTATTTTTTCTTGATGAATTTAAGTTAGAATAACAGCACTGTTACTTAAATTGATTATCTGAAAACACAATATAAAAAATTACTTATTTCTAAGGTGCTTGCAGGATGTACATGTCTTGTTATCATTTGCATGAGCATATTTGGTTTAAGCAAAATTTCTTTGTTTTTTTTTCATTGAACTTTCTATGAATTTATATATGATTGAACAGATAACAGCTAAAGCTTAGATTTAAAAAAATTGTCTACAATAATCAATCATTCAATCCAGAATAAAATCATTACTGAACACTCCCTTGCACATTTGATCCCCATTCTATCAATATCTTGGGCTTTTCGATAAGGATGTGTAAGAACATAAAATTAGTTACACGTATTAACGAACACCACTTCTAGAATGTGCTATAAGCCACTGCAATGTTATATCAATATTGTCTTTTTCTTTGCATGAAATACTATAGCAACAGATTTCACGATCTTGAATAGCTGATAAATTCCTAAAAAAGACATAAACATAACATATTTATCATTTGCTTATTGTTATTATTTTTTTTTATAATAAACATACATTCTTTCTATGAGTCCATTTTCATCCAAAGCATGTGGTAAGTCCCTTTTATTACCAAGAACTAATACTGGTATACCAGATAATTGAGGTTTATCTAATAAATTATGTAGTTCATTGCGGCTTGCTTCAATTTTTTCAGAATCAGCTGCATCTACCATATATACTATTGCATTTACTCCTCTGCAATATCTCTCCCACATAGATCTAAACCTTGGTTGACCTCCAATATCCCAAACCTTTATAGTTACATTGCCTTTTGTTATTTTACGCATATTAAAACCAACAGTTGGAATCATATCTTCACTGAATTGTCCTGACTGAAAGGAAACATATTTAACAAGAAATATAAATATTTGTTTAATCATAAAACTTAAAATAAAATAATGATAAAATATAATATAGATAATAAACCTGTTGAAAACAATAAACCTATCTTTCATAAAAAAAGATATTTAATTTTTTTTTCTATTTATAATTTTAATCTAATTATAATTTAAAAAAAATATAATGTTATTTTTTAGAAAATTATTGTAAAAATTTCATTATTAAATTTCTATATTAGGGCGGATACAAGGTTTACATCAATGACAAAGTTATCTTAAATGAAATATGGAATCTAACCAAACGATGCACGATTCTTTTATTACAATGAACTATAACAATTTATTGATTAAGACATTTACATTCACGTATATTTTACTTCGTTAGATGAAAAATAAGAATAGTAATCGTTAAATCACAGTAACAGAAGTAAGCTTTCGTACCGCTATAACATTCACGAAAGTGGTTTTTCCACTATATTGCAAGCCAACAAGGGTGAGTTCCATCTCTTCTTTCCAAAAGAGGGACTTAAACCAATCCAAAATTCGATTAATAAGAGCCAACATTTTTTATTCGATCGGAGGAAATCCAGCTCCACCGGTAGAAAGTGCACTTAAAGTACGCCGCTCACTGACTTTGACATGTAGTCATTTGCACTCGAATACGACGTCAGTCCGTCAGCTCCAAAGGTATGTACCGCGCTAGTCAGTAACTGGCGCTGACTAATTGCGGTACACTAGTTTATATGCGTCATAAGATACTATACACGAATTTATCTTATGAGAAAGTAATATCTTACATATTAAACAAGTTTATTGTGCGTGATAGCAGATGATAGTCCAGTGATCTTGACAGTTCGGGCTTTGATGTGCAGCAGAAGATGTTACAGCGATTCTCAACTTGATGTTACTCACCTTCGATTAATTCATAATTCAGATCAGATGATCAAAATATTGGTGACTATTTTTTAGTTAAATAAATATTGGTAGATATATTGTGTGTATATATATGTGTGTGTGTGTGTGTGTGCGTGTGATAAATAAATATATACTATAAATAATGAAATATATGGTTATTTGTAATTATATAAATTATCAATTTTTTAAAAATAGAGTTAATATAAAATATGCAATATAAGTAAATTTAAATTCATGAAATATTTTTTAAAATATTAATTATATAAAAATATATAAATTTATTTATTTGATTCGATAAGATTTTTTATAATTTATATTCTTAATAAAAAAAAAGATTTATTTTAGAAAGATATATTATAGAAAATAACAAAATATTATCACATTAGAACAATAATTACCGTTATTGTAAGTATACGAAATGATTGCGACAAAGTTAATTTGTGGCAATTTAAGGTTCTATGTAATCATTGGTTAATTTTCAATTCAATTTATTAAGAACAAAATTTGTTTATCGGTATTCTCTTAAAGATAATTTTTAATTTTTGTTCAAAAGTCATCAGATAATTATCAGATATAATTATCAGATAATGCGATATAAGTTACGTTTTTATTTTTTATAATATTATTTCTAAATAGGCAGTATAACAATTTAAATATTGGTTGAAAATTATTAAAAAATTATTAAAATATATATGCCTAAATGACAGAATGTGTCCTGTATCTGTGCTACTATGCAAATGTTAAAAAAAATATTTTCTTTTATGCAATAGTTTATATAATATATTATATA